CTACTCAGCAGGACAGTCAGGGGCCCTCCCACGCACATCTGTGGCCCCCGCCCACGCGGGGGTGGGGCCCAGAGTGGCCTCCATGCACAGGTGTCCCTGTACCCCTGGCCCCAGTTCCCTGCACTTCCTGTGCTCACAGCCCTAGACCTCTTCGGCTATAAGCAGCAGGTTCTCCAAGCAGCGCTGCTGTTGCTGGGTGACGCCCAAGGCCAGGGGGAAGCCGGGGCCACAGAGCAGCCTGGACAGTGTACTGCTCTGTCCACCGGAGGGAGCCTGGACCACAGGCTGCTCCTGCTCCGTCCTCCAGAGTAAACACAGGCAGAGGCCACTGCCCAGGAACCCCACAAAGACCCTCACCCAGACCCAGCCTCCCACCAACCCAGGGCCTGACCCCGCCTGGCGACTAGAGGAGAAGGCAATCCAAGGCCCACCCCCTCCTTCCAGCGGCATCCTTGGAGCTCGGAGGCCCAGCCCCCAAGGGGCCCCTGCACCCTGACACGGGGGCGGGGGGCGCCTGCTTGATCCTGCAAAGGGAGTGACGGATAGATGGCCAGAGCCGGCTCCAGCCCGTGACAGCTAGTCACCCGTGTCAGGCCCTCCAGCCACAGGAGGAGAGATCCGGCAGCCTCCTCATGCCTCCTAGGGCCTGGCTCTGGAGCACCCTGCTGCAAGGGACCCCCCGCCACCTCTGGCTGCTGGGGCCGTGGCTGGGAGGCGTTCCCCCTACAGCGGGGCCGGGAGGCAGAGTGGCTGCTTCTGGACAGGCTTTACTTCACAAGTGGAGTTTTGCTTGGCCCTCTGACACCCTTCCTGTTCGCTCCTGCTCTCGCTGCCGCCCCCTCTCAGAGCCAGGTTCCAACAGAGCAGCCTGGGGGGCGGCAGGTGCGGGTGGGGGTCCCTCCTACCCTCGAGGCTGCCTGGGGTGTGTGGGACATGCCGGCTGTTGCAGAGCTGACGCTATCACACCAGAGGAACCCATGAGTCACTGCCCCGGAGCCGGGGCTGCACCCCAAACCTCTTGAACAGAGGCCCTTTGTGCCCCAGCACTACCCCCCACCCCCGCCCCCAGGCCCGCCTGTGCACACCATCAGACTCACAGGCAGATGTGTCGATGGCAGCCGCAGGCACAGGTGTGGGTCAGGGCTGTGTGCTTGACCCCTGGCCGCGCTTCCCAGCCCTCCTGGACCCAGCTGCAGGCTGAAGGCCTCCACTCTTGGGTCAGCTCGAGTGCCTGGGGCTAGGGCCTCAGCAGCTGGCTGACCCTAGGGCAGGACCCGCAGGTCATGGAGCACTCAGAGCCCACAGGACGTACTGGCCAAGCCCAGCCAGTGAGCAAGACCCCAGGGAGGCCACCCCACTCCCCACTGCTCCCCAGTCTCTGGAGGCCAGCCCGGCCTTAGATCCTCCTGTGTGCAGGATAGAGACCTTGGGGGAGATAAGGCTTCCTGCTGCCCCCAGGGAGCCTCTGCTCCAGGACAGTGTGCTGCAAAGCTCCTCCTTGGGCGTGAGGAATCCCTATCCCTGGCCACCATCGCCCAGCGTCCCCAGCCACCACAGTGAGCCCAGCTTGAGGACTCTCAGCAGCACTTCTCCGCCTCAGGGTCCAGCCGTCTTGTGACCCCCAGCACAGTCCAGCCAGCTGGCCTCCCTGACACCAAGGACGCCAAGCCCAGCCATTCACAAGCTCAGCGACTGGTGGGCCCGGGGCTCCAGCCACGAGGCCCTGGACACCTGCCCTGTGTGCGCTCCCACGTGTCCCAGGTTAGCACAGACTGTCCTGGTCCCAGGCAGAGAGAGAGGAGACACGGAGACTGACCCCACACATAGCCCTCCCAGAGACCCTCAGCAGCACTCTGCAGCCCACCCCTCCAAGTCAGAGACCCCATCCCGGCCACCACCAGGTCAGCCCAGGGACAGGCACACCCATAGACAGGAGTTGAGAAACTGCCACCCAGACCCCCGCACCCCCAGGTCAAATCTCGGTTCCTGGCCCAGGTCACAGGAGTCAGCACGTCTGGTCTGGAAGTGAGAAACTCCCAGGTGTGCCGGGAGTTAACCCGGCTGGGGAGAGCTAGTTGCCCTTGGAACGGCCCCCTCACCAGCCGCAGGCCCGACCTGAAGGGGCGAACTCAGACCCAAAGCTGGCCTGGCCGGGCTGTATGCTGACGCCCACACTTCTTGCAGGGACCCGGGCCCAGGCTGGGGGGGGGCTCCTGCCAGCCTCACCCCTATCCCATCCCATCCCTCAGCCCCCACAGAGAAGGAAGAGGGAACAAGCAGCCTTCTCACTCACAGCCTGGACCCCTCCAACCCTGTCACAGACCTCGGGCGGGGCCTGGCCGTGCAGCTGGCGGGGGCTCCTGGCCCCCAAGAGCACTTGCCAGCTGTCCCAAGCCAGATACCCACATTCCTGTCTCCTCTCAAACCAGACGTGCCCAGGGTGCTGGAAGGCCAGCCTGGGGCCCAACACCGAGACACCCCGACACTCAGCGTCCCAAGGCTAACGTGGGGCCCGTCAGTGGGAGTCAGGCCATTGCCTGAAGACCGGGACTCTGACTGTGCAGGGCTGGGGAATACCAGAGGACGGCTGCCCCCTCCCTGGAGACCCTACCTAGCACAGCAAGGCACCGAGCCCTGTCTGGCAAGTTCCACGGTCAGATGGAGGTTCTGGGAAGTGAGCCCTAAAGGAGGTCAGTGAAGGTCAGCCCATTACTTCCTGCTGCTTCAGGGCAGGGCTCAGGGTCAAGGGTCAACCCAAAGCCATACAGAGCTGTGCGGCCACTCTGACTCTGGCCCCAGCTAGACGCTCAGGCCACCCCAAAACCCAGCTACAAAGCCAGAGACCAGGCCAGGAAAAGATCCCCATCTCCCAGGCTCTCCCATTCCCTGGAGCCCCTGCTCAGGCTGGGCATCACTACGAGGGCCCAGGGCCCCTTAGGGGGCTCCAGACCGCTGCCCAGACCCCAGGGAGCTCTTTGAACACCACGGTCGGGGTTGAGGGCAACAGGGCAGCAAGCTTCTTTCACTGAAGGGTGTCCCAGGGTCTGCTCCGTAAGAATCTTCATCTCCCTTTCACAGAAGACCGCCCTCCCTTCTCTCTGCAGGCTGGGTACCTGGGCTCTGGAAGGCGGGCTCAGCCTTTGGGAGCCTCACTCGGCACCCGCCCCTTGCTCACCCTGGGAGTCCACCCTGTGTCCGTGGGGGCCTGACCCCTGGGCCCCCTCAGCTCACAACACTCGATGCCATAGGGCAACCACCATGGCCCGACCCCGCCCACATGCCTTTGCTCCCAGTCCCTCAGCCATGGAGGCCCAAGCGGGGACAGCACATTCCAGGGGAATTACAGCTAAGTGGCTAATGACCTCTGATTAGGGGTGACAGAAACAGGGAGGAAGACCAGACAGACCTGGAGGCAGGTGCTGTTGAGCGGCGGGCCCGGGCCCTGGCCACCTGCCCACCACAGGCTCCATGGGGCTGGCCTGGTTCATCCTTCTTGTCCTCGCCTCTCATCTGTCCTCACCTATCTGTCACTGTCTGTGGACCCTGGGCCCCATCTCTGGGTCTGGGTCTCCACCTCTGTCATCACAGTCCCCAAAGCACGTCTGGATACCATGAGACCTGTCCCCTCCTGGACCCAACCAGGTCCAGGACGACCTGGCATAGAAGGGACTGGCTGGCATGGAAAGACCTGTAGGGAAGTGGGGAGCCCCCCCTGGACGCTGAGAGGCCCCAGACACAGCCAAGAGTTTGGCCCAGTGCTGGCCATTGTCTCTCGGCATTTCCCGTCTGTAAATGGGGGTCAGATATGGACAGTGCCCATGGCGGAGCCTGGCGCAGGACCTCAGTAATGGGAAGTGGGAGACAGTGCCCCCTCCTGAGTTTCTGTCTCCCCAGTGTGCCCCTCCTCCCCCAACCTCCCCGGAGAGGGCCCCGTCCCCCCCACACACCGCAAGTTGCCAGAGCACCCCCACTCAGACCGGGCTGGCGCCTGCAGCCACTACAAAGCAGACACCCCCAGCTCGGCCCCCCGGCCCCTGACGCCACCCTGGGGCGACCAGGGAGAGAGGTGAGGACGGGTCATCGGCCAAGCCCGTGGTTGCAGGGGCTGCCGCCAGCTCGGCACCAGCCTCTCCTGCCTCATTACTCAGCCGGCTGCAGGGAGGGTCCCCAAGGGGAGGGGCTGGAGAACGGCCCTCGGGCTCCATCTCCTCCCGCCCTGCCTCCCATCCCCGCCCCTGAGCCCGCCGGAGACCCTGGAGCACTTGCCCTCCCCCTCCCCCGCCCACTCACAGGGCCGGGGAGGCCCTTCCCTGCTCCGCCTTGGAAGGGGGGCTTCAGGCCCTGCCCCCAGCCCCCAGGCATCTGGGGAGAGGCCAGTGGCCTGGCCTCGGCCCTCCAGGTGGGGCTGCCGCCGAGGCCCAGGTGCCAGACAGAGATGGTATCTCAGCGGCTCCGCAGAGGCCCGGACATCCCGAGACCAATTCACATTCTTTGGTCTGGGTTTCCCGGAGCCGAATCAGGGTGCGGGTACAAAGCCCAAATCCACAGGACCCGCGGGCAGGGCCTTAGCGCCCCGCCCTGTGGTTTGCGTCGGGCCGCGGGGGCAGCCGCCGGGCGTGGAGGGCGCCCTTGGCCCCACCCCGCAGACGCATGCGCACTAGCACCGCGGCGCGCAGGCCCGCCTCCCCCCAGGTTCACGGGTGCAGCCCTGCGCGGGCCTCCACTTGTGTGCTCCCCACACCTGACCCCGCAGGACAAGGCCCTCGTAAGGGCTCCCCACCTTGCCCTCTGCATCCCAGACAGTGACAGCAAATGGCATCCGGCCGCCATCGGACTCACCCGCTTCTGGGACTTGTGGTGCCCCAGGCTGAATGGATCTGGGCCCCCCGGGCCCCGCAGATGTCCATAGGCTACTGCTTCCAAGACTGGACACCAGCCCACATGTCCTTCCAGGGCTGCAGCCCCACCCCCACCTGCATGATGACACAATAACCACGCGACAGGGAGGGCTGAGAGCTCTTTATTGCTGGGACCACAGGTTTAACAGTGGACAGTGGGGGGTGGGTGGGCCCCGTGGGCCCCCTGTCTGGCCCTCACGTGCCCAGGAGCAGGCCGGAGAAGCTGGAGCCACTCTGGATGGTGAGGGTTGTCCCAGAGCCGTTGTCCACGAAGACGGAGGCGTACTGTCCAGCCTGTGGACCCCCCACAGTGGGCGTCACCAGCCATGGCAGCACACAGAGGAATGACGCGCGAGCCCCACCAGGCAGCACCCAACCCGGGGGGTTACGTGGCCGGTGTCCATCCACGCGCAGGGCTGCGCAGTGCCAGGCAAAGGCTCCAGGCCCGAGGCCTGTCCTCACCCGTCTGGCCCTCCCGCCTTACCTGCAGCTGCAGCAGCCCCTCCACGTGCACAGTGAAGACTCTGCCTCGGCTCTCCAGGCCCGAGATGGCCTCCAGGGACCTGGACGCAGCATCACAGGGTGGGGTGAGGGCGCCGCTGGTGCGGGGCCAGGACCCCACCCCGGCACAGGGACAGCTCTGCGTCTGCAGCGGCCCCTCCCTCTCTGCAGGCAGGACAGTCCAGGCCTGGCCACCACCCCCTGCGGCCCCCGCAGCATCAACAGTGCCCCCAAGGATGGCCCACTCACGTGTGTCGATGACACAGGGACTCGATGCAGACAAGCACCCGCACGGTGTCGCGAGCCCGCGCCCGCGCCCTGCCCTGCGGCTCCCTGCGGTCTGTGGAGACAGGCACGCCTGCAGCAGCCCGCCCCCAGCAGAGAGGGGCAGGGGCTAGACAGCCAGGTGCAGGCCCAGGAGTGGCCAAGCTGGAGGAGAGTGGGCCCTCAGCGAGAGCCCCAGCGGGAGGTGGGGATGGAGGCATGTCTTCAAGGGGACCCAGGCCTGGGGGCTGGCCCCCACTCACCCACGTGCAGGCTGGCGGAGAACTGGAAGATGGCGGTCAATGGGGCTGTGAACCGGCCTGAGGCCAGGCTCAAGCCAGACCCCCGCAGGAAGGCGCCCTGGGCCGTGGGCTGGAGGGACAGCAGGTGAACAGCCAGCTGCAGCGCCCGGGCCCTCATCTTGCACATCCAGCCTGGGGGAGGCGCCTGTGACCGACAGCCACCACCACAAGCAGGCCCCCAGTGGGCAGGATCGGCAGCGGGGGACCCATGTTTCTGGGCCCACCCGGCTCCAGGCCCCAAGAGATGGAAGAACCCTCAAGAGCCCCCACCAGGGAAAGCATCCCTGGCTCCTGGCCCCTTGGACCCCACCCAAAGTTGTGGCACACAGGACCTGCTAATCCTGACTCAGGTCACCCCACCCCCCTGTGCCTGGCTCCCCCAGGTACCCTCTGCGTGTGTGTGCTGGGCGACTGTCCCAGGCTGGCTATGAGCCTCGCCCAGCAGTGGGGAGCCGACCCAGCACCTGGCCCCCCACCCCCACTGGCCCCTACTGGGATACGAGGAGCCCCCCCCACCTCCCAACCTGCGCAGATACCCCAGAGGACCAGGCCCCCCCCCACGCACACTCACAGCCTGGAAGCCATGCAGCTCCACCAGCGTCTTCTCGTCCACCACCAGGGGGCCCTTCAGGGCGCAGTGGAAGGCCTCGGCCACCAGCCGCCCTGTCCCCTCAGGCAGCGATGGGCCGAGCAGCCCCAAGAACCGGCGCTCAGTGGCCTCTGTGGGGAAAGGGTGAGAGCAGCGTCTCGGGTCAGGGTGTGGTCACCCCCAGGGCCCAGGCGGAAAGATCTGGGACGGGGTCTCACCTTTCAGCATCTCCTGAAACTCTCGCAGCAGGGCTTCCTGGGTGACTGTGGCACCGGGGGGCCCGGGGGGCCCGGGCGGCCCGGGAGGCCCAGGGGGGCCAGAGAGGCCTCGCTGAGGGGTGGCAGGAAAAAGTCAGGGTCCCAGTGGGAGCCACAGCCACCCCTCCCCTGGGTTCAGACCCCAGGGCTTACCGACTTCTGGTCCCGGCCCCGGCACCGTTTCTTGGAGGCCCCGTCATGTGGACGGCGGACAAAGTTCAGCCAGGTCGTGTGGGCGTCTGAGAACTCAGACCCCAGGCCCTCAGGTGGCTGTAGGGCCAGGGGACAGAGCTACTGTGCTGGCCACCGGGCCCCCACAAGGCCTCCCCTACTGTCCCCAGGGGAGAGTGGAGAGACTCGGGGCCCAGGCCACCTGGGGCAGGACTCAGCACACATGAGAAACTTGGTAATGGGTCACTGCAGGCCACCGCTGGGGACCCAGACCAGCACACACAGGGCAAGGGCTTGGGGCCTTTGTGGAAGCCAGGACCTGATGTCCAGGCACCTTGGTTCTGGTTCCATATTGGAGTGACCATGTCCGCGCCCACTGCACCGGGTTCCCAGGCCGACGGGCACACCCATGTAGACACGGGCCTGCCCCACGCGTCCCCGCAGGTAGGCAGTAAAGAGCAGGAGTAAGTTCTCGGGGGTGGGGGGTGCTCCCCAAGAGCTTCAGAGCCCCGCAGAGCTGGGGAAAGCACAGGCACAGGCCCTGCTCTGCGCTGGGCGTCAGGTGGGTGAGCGGACAGCCCTGGACGGGCTCCTTGGGCTCGGACCCAGGCCACAGCGGCCCAGCCCACCTGACTGTTCAAGCAAGAGCTGGGAGGGGCAGAGCTGCCTGAGACCATGCCCCCCTCTCCCCTCCACCCACTCCCCCCAGCCCAGTTTCTGCACCGGGACAAGCCCGAGAGGCAGCAGCCCCCAAAGCCCCAAAGTCGAAGAAAGCGCATCCCACTGAGGGGGTGTGGGCTGGGGAGAGAGTCGGCCTGTCTCTGAGGCAGTTTGCAGGCCAGGCTGGGGCAGGAAGCTCATCACACGGGCAGGAACACAGCAGATGCTGGACTGGCTGGGGGACAGCCACCATCACAGGGCTAGAGCAGAGCCCTGGCCACTCTCAGAGGGCTCTTTCCGGCAGCGCAGGCTGAGAGGCCCCGACTGCAGGGTCCAGTCCAGCGGGCAGCCCTCGGCCCCAGACATGGCAAGAGCCAGGTTCCGAGGCCAGGTGCTGCCTCCCAACCCAGGAGGGGCAGGGCTTCTCAGGAGACCAGACAGGACAGGAGGGGCAGGGAGGGTGCCTCCCACCCCTGATCTGGGGCCCACCCAGAGAAGAGGGAGAAGCCAGGAATATTTGAATATCCTGGTTCCTGGTGTATCTGCTCTCTGCCTAGTGGCCTGGCTGCCATCCTCCCTAGCCACACCTGAGGGACTCAGGGGCCTCGAGACAAGTCCGTCAGTGGTGTCTAGGGGCCAAGGGCTACGGAGTCGGGGGCAGGTGGAAGATGAGTCCACCCCCAGCAGGAGAAGCAGGGGTCCCACAGTCTGGGGTATGTGTCACATGGCAGCCCCCCACAATGGAGACACTCCTGGAATAGAGATTTGCCTGTTTGTCCCCAGGCGGACCCGTGCCTACCCCAAGAAGCTGCCAGGAGCCCACCCTTCTCTGGCTGGCAGGGCCTGAGGACTCACACTCCTCAGCCTGCCCATCTGGAAAATGGGGCCTCAGGCTCCAACGGGCCGCGTGGGCTGAGAGCAGCCGCGCTGGCTGCAGCGGAGACGCCCTTGGAGGCGGGAGGCCAGGATCAAAGGCATGAGGGCTTGGGCGGTGGGAGGCCTGCCCCAGCAACTGCCTCTCTCTTTTCAGGCCTGCGGCCCCCACAGGAGCAGACCCATGCTGCTGGGGTCAGCTCCAACCCCCCGCCCCCGGAGATACCTGGCACAAGATGGTGGAGGGCCAAGGCTGAGGCGGGTCTCAGAGGGGACCCCAGGGGCGGACTGAGGCCAGAGGGACTCCAAGGACCAGAACACTGGCTATGTCAGAGGCCATCAGGGGTGCTGGGCACACAGTGGGGGGGTCAGGGCAAGGACCTCCAGGAAGCACAGGGTCCAAGCTAGCCTTCGCCTCTCCAGCCACCCAAGTTGTGGGTTACTCGGATTCCCAACAAGGGGGCTCCCCCACAACCTGCTCCACAGCAGGCTGCTAGAGGCATGTGGGACCTGGGGCTTCAAAGGGTCCAACCCAGCCCCTCCCCTCCCCCACCGTTCCCCTGGGCCCAGGGCCCCAGTGGCTGCCCTAAGAGCAGCTGCTGCGAGTCCTGCCCAAAGCCCCACTCCACCCAGACAGGCCAGGGAGGCCCAGAGAACCAGGCAGGGCAGAGCCAGAGAGAAGGTAGCCCGCCAAGAGCCAGGGGCCGCCCTAAGCCTACAAGTATACACAACCCGCCCCACGTGCAACCAGCCCGAGCGTACCTTGGGGGAGCCCAGCAGCCCCTCGCTGTGGGACGTGGTGGCGGTGGGGGGCTCAGTGCGCTGGCTGGGCTGCTGAGGCCTCTTGGGCTCCCGCCGCGCCCCAACGGCCCCCAGGAGCAAGAGCTGCAGCCCGAGGGCCACAGCAGCGGCCGCCCAAGCCCAGTGCATGGTGCCCGGCAGCTCCAGACCCCAGTGGCGGCTCAGCCCGGTGAGCGGGTACCCCCAGGTGTGCTCATGGGGGCAGCGGTGCAGCCGGCACTCAGGGCCCCCCTGCGGAGACACAGCCCCCGGGGGCACCTCGCCACCTCCCTGCACGTGCAGGCAGGGTGAGCCTGGGGCGGCGACACAGGCACCCGCTGGGGCAGAGCACACCAGGGACGCACTCCCTCCCGATCCCCCGGGCTGGGACCGGCGCCCGCCTCCCTCATATGCAGTGCCCCGGCTGCCTGCGCACGCTGCCAGATAAACCCTCCCCTCCGCCCCAAAGCTCCAAAGGGGAGGGCTCACGCTCTGCGGGCTCTGCCAGCCAACAGGGGCTCCCCTGCCAGCCCGGGGGCGGAGACGGGGGCGTTAGGCTGCGGCAAGGGGCTGCTCCCTGCCCTGGGAAACAGCCCCCGCCCTTCTCCAGGAGGGCCGACTGGCCCTGCAAACTGTTGACAGGAACTCACCCCACCCTGCTCCCAGAAAAGCTCCTAGCACCTCATATCCAGGAGGCCCAGGGGCAGGGACAAACTCCCGTCAGGACAGACAGCCCCATCTGCTCTTCCTGCGTAAGACCCACTTCATTCAGGCCCTCCGGATCCTTCCAGCCCTGCCCCAGGCCCCCTCCAGGCCCTCTGACAGAGGTCCCCCTACCCAAGAGTCCTGGTGATGCCCAGAAGCCTGGTTCAGACCCTGCTCCTGCGAAAGGCAGGACCTGGCAAAGACAGCCGTTGGACCAGGCTCCCAGCCACATCCGGGCCTAGGTGACCCTGGGCACTGGCCCTCCACTGGGGTAAGCATGTCCAGTGAGAGGGGGGACTGAGTGACCTCAGAGAAAGTCATGGTGGGCGGCCTGGCTGAGGCTTTCCCCAAGTCCTTCCACGCCCTCCTCTTCTTGGGGCACAAGGCCAAACGTTACTGCCCGAAGGGGTGCCCTCACCCAACCAGGCCTCTCCGCTTCCTGCGGTCTTCAGCCAGCAGGGGAAAGGGACAGAAGTCCGAGGAGAGAGAGCACAAGCCTTCCCCCCAGCGGGACCTGAAAACCGGTGCGTGGGTCCCCAGGGAGAGTTAGTGCCCTTCCTTAACCACCAGCACACTACAGGCAACAGGGTGACCGGGGCCAGCTGAAGCCACCCAAGCCTTGCAGAGTCAATCACCACATGACGGGGGCCAGGTGGGCTGACAGCTGCCCCTTGGTGGACCAAGCCTACCATGGCTAGCCCTGAGCCAAGAGCAAGGTGGGGGCACACCGGTCCTGGTGGACAGCACGAGTCCTCCTCCAGGAACTCCTCAATTTCCAGACATCCGCCAGGAATGACAAAGGCAGACCCTAGACCAGACCACGTCCACGGTTGGCAGCTACAGGCAGAGCCATCCCCAGAGCCAAGCCTGGTGGGGAAGATGTGAGGAGTGTCTGCCCAGGGTCATCCGTCCCCCCTCCTGGTCCAGGCAGAGCTGGTCAGCTTCAGGGACAACAGCGGGCAGTGATGGCAAACTGCGAGATCACTGTCAGAGACTCAGCTCCCAATGCCTGGGTCTTGAAGAGGGCCACGCTGCAGAAGATCCCCTTGTGCCCTGCCCAGCTGGGACCCTCAATGTGACCTGCATCCAACACCAGGTAAGGAAAGTGGCCCAGGAGACGCCCACTGAGCTGCTAGACAGCCCCCGACAGGCCAGGCACCTCTTTTTCTAGCAACTGCATCCTGAGAGCCCAATCCTCAGAGGCTTCGAAGTGTCCGCAGAGTGCCGGAGGCAGTGGACCATCCCTGACTGGCTGCTGCCGTGGGCACTGCCAACTGGCCAGCCTCCAGCACAGTCCTACAGGCAGGTCGACCTACAGCAGACGGCCTCTGAAGCTGGACGGGGCAGCCACACAGCAATGGGCCTCAAACAGGTCCAACCGTGCCTGAACCATGAGGTTCTGCTCCCATCCCGAGGCACCTCGACGATAAACAGGAAGGACCACTTCCCTGGCCCACTGGTTGGTAAGCTTCTTCCGGGCTGTGCTCTGCAGGGGGACGCGGCCCCCTTGGGCTCAGGTCCAGTGTCAGGGAAGCAGGTCCCTGCTTTCCAGTGCCTCCTCTCCCTCTCCCCTGCATCCTATGGGTCCTCTCAGGGGCCCAGCTCCCCCAGTGAGCACGGGAGCTGCCTGGAAAACCATCAAAGGGACCCCGCTCTCGAGTCCTCCACAGCCTACTACTGCCCCAGACACCCACTGCCCCTGGAGGGGAGGCCCAGGCCCACAGCCACACCTCTCTACCCACAAAGTCACAACCCAGACGCTGGGCCTCGTCCCCACAGCAGCCTGCCCCCATGATGCCCTCGACATACCGACGGCCACCCCAGCCTCAGACCCAGACCATGCGGCTGCATTCACAAGCTTCCAGTCTCAAACTCAGGCCTGGGGAAGTTTCTTGGGGGCAGAGATGCTGGGAATGGTCTTCGCAAGACCACCCAGGACCCCTCCTCCTCTGTCCGTGCAGCCTGACTTTGGTCAGGGCTTCGTGCCTGGATTAAGAGACTCCAAACACGGCTTGCCCCCCCCGCGGTTCAGATGGGCCAACCACTGGGGACACCCAACTGCCCTCCACCAAGGGCTCCACACGAGAGCGAGGGGCCGGTGATGCCTCTGAGGGAGAACGACATGGCCACGGGGTCAGATATGCGGACCCACAGGACAAGTCCGTCTATCTTTTTTTTTTTTTTTTTTTTGGTTGAAGCGTTTATTTATTTTAAGCAATCTCTACGCCCGATGTGGGGCTCAAACTCACGATCACGAGATCAAGGGTCACCTGCTCTTCTGACTGGGCCAGCCAGGCACCCCAAGGTCATCTTCTACCTCGGGTCACTGCAGACCGCTTGCTGCCTCGGACACTGGATCAAGGCTCGGCACGGACCGGCTGGCCCCGCTGACAAAGGGTTTTTAAGAGCTGACATTTCACACGCGGCAAGGAAATAACCGACGTTAAGTAAAGCATTTGCTGTGGAACTTGCCTCAACACCTCAGGAAACACCAAGTGCTTGGGTCAGATGCGGCCGCGGACAGAGGGCACGGCGCGGCAGAGCGCACGCCAGCCGACACACGCGGGGCCCCACGGCTGCTCACGAGGCACCGCTGCGCTGCAGACACGGTGGCTCCAGCCCCACGGGCCGCGCCGCTGGGCTGCCCGCAGGCGAGCCCGGCACTGGGCGGAGATGGGCTTGCGTTTCCACCAACAGAGACTCAAACAGCACAACATTTAGGAACAAGATATAATGAAAGATTTTTTCACAAGAGTGGGTTAAATACACACGAGTGGTAAACTATAGAGCAATTTTAAATAAACAGATCAAAAAGCAAAGAACGTGGAAGCTGCACGAGTGCGCGGCCACACTTGAGGCCCAGGAGCCGCAGACACGGCGCTCTCAACGGACGCGAACTGAGAATCCTCACATGGGCGCCTGCCGGAGAGGTCAGCAGCCCAGGAGCCGTGTCCACCCCGCCGGCCCCGTCCTTCCCGGGATGCCCAGTCCATGTGTGGCCTTCCAGGGCAGAGCCCACACCGGACACGGGTCAGCTGCGGGAAGAACACGGGAGCCTACCTTTAGGGTAAAGCACACATCTGGACCAAGTGTGAGGGGAGCCCCGACGTGCACAGAACCTGCCTGTCAGGTATGGACCCCAGGGGGCTGCTGGGGGTCAGAGGAAATGTCCTGCGGGCACTGGGAGCCTGGAGGTGGCCGCGGAAGGCCCGGCCTGGCATGGGTATGGGGGCGAGGGCGGGAGGAGGGTAAAGGGAAGGCCGCCTTAGGGACCACGCGGGACGTGGTGGCTCTTCAGGGAAGGGGTGCCACCTTGTGGTCAGAAAGCAAGCAGACGCTGAATTTCAACGTCACCACAACAGCCCACTCTGCGAGGAAGGACTGCTCCTTTCCAATGAACACAAACACATTTCAAATGCTGAGGCCCAAAGCCCCACATCTCCTGGCCCCCATCTGTTGCTGCCCCTGGCCAGCCCCTGGGCCCCACGGCCAGGCCCCCTGCCCCTGCCAGCCGGGCGCAGCTGTAGAAACTGCTCCTGCCTGGTGAGCCAGGGCTCCACTGGACCAAGAATGCACGCAGAGTATTTGATAATCGAGTTTTGTATTTTTAAGTGACCAAATCTAATAAAATGAAAAACAGGTTTACTAAAACAGGTCCAAAAGACGATACAGGAGATAAGCTATAAAACCAAAGCATGAGGCCCCTCCTCCTCGGCACCCAAGCTCCATGGTCCCCAACAGACCCCAGAGTGAGGACAGGGAGCTGAGAATCTTGCATCTCCTCTAAATCCAAATTACACACTTTGGTTTTTGTTTTCCTTTTCAAGGTTTTTAAAAAGCTACCCCAGGAGTCAGGCAGGTCCACCCTGCGCTCGGCGACACGTCCAGCCAGCCCGTGGCAAGCTCGGGCCCAGTGTCCCTCGTTTTTGACCACTTCTGCCAGCCGTGGCACGCGGCTCACTCCTGCGCTATGCTTCTCAGCACGTACTTGACCGTGTAGGCAAAAGCCGCAAACCCAACTATAACAAACAAGTTCGCCAGGGCACCGCCCAGGAGTCCATGGTGCCGGTTGGCCTGCTGGAGCCCCGCGAGGTGTGGCCCAGCCCCTGGCACGTGCCCATTGAGGAGCTGAAGCCCGTTCTGACCATGGTGTGTTTCCCCATCTGGAACCACATCTGGTAAGGGGAGAGCCTGGGGTCGGCTACTGAGTTCATCTTGGGCTTTCTGTTTCTGTTTAATTTCCTAAGATAAAAACAGAAAAAAACAAGGGTTGGTCTGAACAAGCAAATTCCTTTAGAACTAGGGATCATTCTAAGATCCACCCGTGGGTGGAAGACCTGTGGGGCCTGTGGTTGCCGGCCCCCTGTGCTCAACCCTGACACCCACCCCCAGAGGTGAGGGCTGCTGCTGACCTGTTTACAGAAGAGGGGGTCCAGGGACTTGTCAAAATCACCAAGCCTGCACCTCGCAGGGCCTAGACTGAGTCAGTCCAAGCGACACAGGATCACCGGGACCTCGACCTTAATGGGGCTCACCCTGCCCCTCCTGGCCAAGGGCCCTCCCTGCGGCTCAGCAGCCCACCTGAGGAGCTCCACGGCCTGAGGTCCTTCCCTTTCCCTGGCCCCCCCAGCTCCAACCCCACCACATCCAAGACCCCAGCTCCCTGGGCACCCTGAGGAGAGGGGCAGGGCTGTACCCGCCCATTAGCTCCTACAGGCGCAGGTGGGAGCGGGTGCTCTCCATGCGGTCTAGGTGCGGCCCAGGGACCCAGAGCAGCGGAGTCTTCTCTGGGAAAGACTCGGACATGAAAGTCCTCCTGACAAGGGGGAGCAAACCGGAGCCGGCCTGTTCCTTACCTCCACGACTTCAGGAAATAATTCACAAAAGACTTTGTCTTTCAAATTAAATGCTAAACTTTGTGCAGCCAGTTGTCTTTTCTAAGAAGAAAGAGAACGGAAATATCAGCCCGAAGACTAATTTCGATTCTTTCAAATTCTAAATTAATTTCCATTTTTTCAAATTCTAGGTCATCCTCAAAAGCTCCGGTCTTCACGTCGTTGAAAAGCACCCAATAAACTCGGTCTTCAGAACCAGCTAACTCAGTCTTATGAAAACGCATGCATCTTTCCATTCTCATCAACGAATAACTTTAATTCCTACTTAAACGAGAGAAAAATAGGGGCGCCTGGGGGGCTCAGTGCGTGAAGCCTTTGCCTTCGGCTCAGGTCGTGATCTCTGGGTCCTGGGATTGAGCCCCGCATCGGGCTCTCTGCTCAGCGGGGAGCCTGCTTCCCCCTCCCCCTCTGCCTGCCTCTCTGCCTGCTTCTGATCTGTCCAATAAATAAGTAAAATCTTTAAAAAATAAACAAATAAGTAAAATTTAAAACCGGAAAAATAAAAACCAGGTAACAAGGACTAGATACCTCGCTATCCATGGACGGGGCTGCATAGCTGCCGTTCTGCCCCCCCGCCCCCAAGCCCCTGAGGAAGCTTGGCCTGTTCTTCCCACTGCTGAGGAGAACAAGGAGCCCCAGAGCAGGGAGTCTCCGCACAGTGTCTGGGGAGCCCCCAACACGTGGCCACGCTCTCCACCCCTCACCGTGAAGTCCGATGTCTCTATGCTGCCCAGGGTGGGGCCCTTCTCCACCATGAAGCTAAGGAGCCCCGTCAGGATGGTGGAGACGGACCAGGCCGGGTTCCACGTGTCTGGGTGGAAATCCGTGATGGAAAGACACAGCCTGCAAAACAGGGACCCACTCAACAGAGCTCACCCCAATCCTGACCTCACTCGATACTGGAAAAACAGAAATGCCTTACCTCGTATTGCACTTAAATCTTCCATTGGGCGTGATCATATAAATACTAGGAGGTTTAAAAGGAAATTCTCTGGGAAAAACTAGTTTTCCATGATAATAGCCACCTATATCAAAACAGAAAGAGCCTGTCATGGTTCACAGTGCAACTCCTGTGGGGACAAACTGCTTAGACTCAGCCCCATTCCAGCCCTCCGGCTGGCATCACTGCCCTCGGCCTCCCACCCCACCCCACCCGCTCTCCCCCATCTCTGTGCCCACCAGCTGACCGCCCCTGGAACACAGGAGTCTTGCTGGAGGTCTCACTGGGGGCTCATGACCAAAACTTAGGAGCAGCCTTGCCCCATAGGACCACCACACAAACCCTGCTCAACGTTCCCATGCCCACCTCTCACCTAGAGCAGGGCACCAGAAGAGAAGTTGCACTGGGCTCCTCACTGGCCCCCTCCTGCCGCCCTTCCCAGCATGACAGCCAAGGTCACCCCTGTTCAGATCCCCTCCCTCCTACACTACTCATTTCTCCTTCTCCACTGAACTATACCCAGCAATAAACAGAACTGCCATCATTTCTCCCACTGTAAAAACACAAAACTCTGGCCGCCACCCCCCTCCAACTCCTGCCAATCGCTCACTCTCCTTTCTGGAAAACCCCGACAGCTACGCCCAAGTCCACCCTGACGAGGGCCCTGCTCCCACCATGATCCCCCAAACCTTGAGACCCCAGACCTCCCCTCCCACCTCACCACCACTCCTGATCCTGCCTCAAGTCCCGCCCTGGCCTGGCTCCCCATTCTCCCTCCACCCCCTAAGCGCTACCCACTGGCTCCTTTGGTGCCCTCCCTGACCACTCACACCTCTGGGGCCTCACAGTCTCATGTGACATGAGGATGCAATCATTAGTCTCCCACCAGCACCTCCACACAGGCCTCTGGGGCTCCTCCCCTCACTCAGGACCCACGACCTGAACATCCAGGCAACACTGTTCAGAGGAGTCTGAGAGAGAATTCTGGCTATTTTCTGGCTATTTTCCCCAAAGAGCAGTTCCAACCTCTTCCAACAGATTAAACTCTGCGAGGACCCACAGCCATACCCGTGCCCCGTCCCCCGGCCCAGCCGCCATTCCACACCGACTCCAACAGCAAATCCTTTCGGCCACACCTTCAAACTGATCCAGACCAACACTGGGGGGGGCCCTGCTAGCCTCACGGCCTTCACCCTGCCCCCTCAGCTCCCAGACCCACCGCCCCATGCCTACTGGAGGCCTCACACCCTCCTCTCAGGGCCACACCTGGGAGCCTGCTGGAAATGCAGAGCCCTGGGCCCAGCGCAGCAGGCTAAGTGACGCACGCCGACAGCACACCTGGTGATGTGCGCACACCGAGGCTTCACGAGCTGCCTGACCTCCACCTGGGATCCCCGCTGTCCCCAGCACCCCGGGTGTGGTCCCACCTCAAGGACTGGGGCACACTAGTCCCAAAGAGCCACACATCTCTGCTCCAAGGCCACTCTTGGGTAGGCCCTCCCCACCAGGGCCCTGGCCCCCTCGCGTGAGTGCGGTCTTCCACTCCAGCCTCTGCCAGTGGTGGAGGGATGGCATCAGCAAGTGTCCCTTGTAAGGCCAATCCAGCAAGCAGACAAGTCCACTACTGAGAAACTAACACCGTAAATGACACGCAGAGCACACTCACTCAAAATTACTAAGAAAAGCCAAACTGGACAACAGCCAAGTGATACACACAGGGGCTTTTCCTAAGAGGAAGCAGGAGAGTCGGGCACGTCTGAGGCTCAGCTCCCAGGAAACAGCGGCCACGGGCAGCTCAGCGGAAGGCACCGGGAAGACAGGCACCGCCTCACAGCACGAGCGCACGGCTGCTGGGGAAACGGCATTCTCCATTCCTGGGCCAGCCCAGCACCGGTACCTCCGTCGGGTACTGGAGGAAAGCCAGGTGAAGCCCTTCCACCGAGGGGAGAGCTCTGGGCAGGAGCCGGGCAGAGAGGCAACCACACAGGGAGCGAACTGGAGAGGCGAACGGCAAGTCGCAACACAATGGCGGGCGGCGCGTCAGGGGCCACCGAAGCCCTCGGGCCTCCGCATCTAGGCGTGCAGGTGTGCTCTGCGCACAGGAGAGGAACTCTGGGAGCGTCTGTGCCGAGGGGGCCCGGAGCGCTCAGTGTGAGAGGGGAAGAGGCAAAGCAGGGCCCGCAGGACAGAGCCTCGCCCAGAGGTCAAGCCCTCAGGGAGTGCAGGGAAGCGGTGCCAGGCCAGCAGCTCCCACACCCTTCACGCCCAGCGTCCGCAGGGACCGGCGTGAGGAGCACAGCCTCGGCCGAGCGCTGTGGCCCTGGAGGCAGCCGGGGAGAGCGCCCGGCACGCCGCCGCCCTTCCTCCACCGAACTGCTTTTGCAACTACGTGGAAAAAAAGAAAAAACCCACTGGCCTCAAATATGCCGGCCCCCTCCCGGGTCCTCCGCTCTGTCCCGCGGACCCGCGCCCCCACGCTTCCCTCCAGTCTGCTCACTGAGGCTGCGGAGCCTGAAGCTGAGGCAGAGCGACGACTCCTGCTCGCTCCTGCCCTAGCTACTCCCGACCCTCTGCCTTTCTGTATACATTTTAGAACAAAACTCGCAGATCGAACAAAACACTTTCGTTACAACTCTGACGGGGATCGTGCAAGATCTGCAGATGGCTTCAGGGAGAACCCTCCGCGGCACCCGCACTAGCGGGAGGCGGCTTCTGAGCTACGAGGGTCGGCGGGCCTGGGGTTCGCCAGGGCAAGCACAGTCGTGGAGCCCAGAGGCCAGCCAGTGCCGAGCCGAGCAGACATGGACAGGGAGAGGAGCCACGAGAGGCTGGGAAGGAAGGGTCAGGACATCCAGAAGTCAGAGGAGAAGCAAGTGAGGAAGAAGCCAGAGTCAACACCACTGGAGTCCACAGAACCCCAGGCACCGAGGCCTGAGATCTGGCCCCTGGAATGGCAGTTCACAGGGGTCCCTTATTAACCAAGAGAGCGGCGAGCACAAGGAAGGCCTTGGGCTGCAGAGTGTAGCCCTGAGCTGAGCGGATGGGCGGCAGGGACGGGGACAGATGCTGAGGAGGGCAGTGAAGGGAGAGGAGGCAGAGGAGGGGAAGGAGGAGGAAGAAGGAAGGGGGAGGAGAAGCAGCAGGAAAAGCTCTGTATCTGAAGGGAATCTTGCTGGCAGCCTGAGGGCCAGAACCAGCAGGTAAACACACAGGGGAGTACGAGACACAAGGAAGCACTGGTGACAGTGCTGGACCTGGAGAGAGGGCGCCTCTTCCTGCATAGAGACAGGAGAGCCCACGCTCGCCAGGCCTGGGGATCAGCGAATCTCCTGGAGTCCCAGCTGTGCATGCCTTCACCTGGGGGGCTGCCCTCTCCTCTCCCTGCTGCCTCCACCCCCATCCAGGCTCACTTCCAGCAGCAACAGGCCCGGACGCAAAATTAATAAACGTTTACTATTTATTCGGAAAATAATAAAACTACAAAAAAATAAACTTAAAAAGCAGGCACAATGCCCCTTGGCAGAGAGAAAACACACTCACTCCTAGTGTGTTAGAAACACACGTTTAGGGGCGCCTGGGTGGCTCAGTGGGTTAAGCCTCTGCCTTCGGCTCAGGTCGTGATCCCAGGGTCCTGGGATCGAGCCCCACATCGGGCTCCCTGCTCCACGGGGAGCCTGCTTCCCCCTCCCCCTCTGCCTGCCTCTCTGCCTGCTTCTGATCTCTGTCTGTCAAATAAATATATAAATCAATAAATCTTTAGGAACACATGTTTAACAACCATTCTAACATGATCTGTCCAGACGGCCTGAAGCCCACCTTTTGCGGCATTTCTAGAAGCCCCCCTGCGAGCACACCAAGGCCACATGCTACTGCCGGTCACTTGGGCCCCAACATGACACTACGAACATCCCCTGCAGGGGGCTTCTGCACGTGCCTCCCCAGGACACACCTGCCCGCGTCAGGAACTCCCACACCAAAGGAGAGTCTACACAAGGCTGGTGACACATGCACCGAATGTTCTCCTCCCGTGGCCAGACTCTTTTCTACTGAAACCTTATGCCAAAGCCCCCATGGATGTAGATGTCGCCCGAAGCAAGGACCCAGTGGCTAGAGAGCTGAAGGTGCTGCCCACCCAGGCACGGCTCTGCCCTGGGCTTGCCCTACCATGGCCCATCTCTCCCCTGGCCTAAACCAAGACTGGTGCCAGGCTCCCTGCAGCCCCCGACGTGCTGACTAATCCCAGGTCTACTTTGTAAATGACACCAGACGACCCTGGGTGGCATCAGTGGATCAGCCTCAGCAGCAAGTAGGAGAGCAGAGGTGCCCAGCTGACCCAGAGCAGATCCTAAGCCTCAGTGTCCCATCCACAAAGGGGCCCAAAACTTGGCTCAGAGGGCTCGGCAGAGTGAGAGCTCCATAATTACACCTTTCCTTCCTCAGACAATGTTCACGTTGGTCTGAACAAACCCCAGGAGAAGCTGGCCACGCTGTCCTGCTCACCAGGTCTGTCTTCCAGCTCTGATCCCACTGATGTGAGAGGCTGGTTAAACCCCGACACTTACGGACAGCTTCCGAAGACTGAACACAACGGCAAAAAACCAAACACTTCTTGGACCTGGAGAAACACTGGGATGGATTCCAAGAAAGTCCAATCTCACTCGTGCACATCCAAAATAGGGCGTGATTCACAAATACCAAGTGTTTGACAGGTGACGTCTACTCAGATGGTAAACAGTGGGGCGCCTGGGGGGCTCAGTCATTAAGCGTCTGCCTTCAGCTCAGGTCACGATCCCTGGGTCCTGGGATCGAGCCCCACATTGGGGGGGTCTCTGCTCAGCAGGGAGCCTGTTTCTCCCTCTCCCACTCCCCCGCTTGTGTTCTCTCTCTCACTGTCTCTCTCTCTGTCAGATAAATAAATAAAATCCTAAGTTAAAAAAAAATAAAAAGCTGAAACGGCGTCTTGTTCCTCTCAATCAGATCAGACTTACCTTCATACGGAGTCATCTCTGGGCCTCGGACCACATAGTGCCTGAGGGAGAGAAGAAAATCAGCGGGCTCTGGGATGGCAACTTCTCCAAACCTGGAGTCACTCCAAGGCTGGGCTTTGTAGGGTCCCGTGAACTTGACACTCACAAACAATCAGTAGATGAACTGGTATGGTAGACACCTTCGTCACTTTGTAACAGAACCTTGAAAACCGTATCTTGTGAGTTTCCCACAAAATACTTTTGTGTCTACAATATGCAAGAAAGAAATTCTCTCTAACAGTTACAGCCAAATGAAAAGGTTTCCAGCGTTGATTTCACATTCATTCTTGAGGTGTACCTGGAAACTTGCATTTCCAGGGGAAACTTGTGTGCCCGAGTATTATGAAGTAGGCCAAGCAGGGGACAGCTGGCGGCATGAGCTGGCTGTGTGTCTCCCAGCGCTGCTGTGCCCGCTCTGGGAGACCTACACATGACCTCAGAGCAGCTGTCCTGTAGCAGGCGGAACAGGCACAACCCACAGCCGTCACTGAGTCCCCACACAGAGCCCAAGCCCAGGCTGGGCCCGCGTGCCTCAGACCAAAAGCACCAGCACCCACAGACCGCACTCTCCCACACAAACGCAGAGCTCCAGCCGTATGTCAAGAGGAGTTTGGACTTAAGGGTTTTCAAACAAAACAGAAACGCACAAAGGGGAAAGCAGAACCAAGCAGAAATGCACGACCACACGACTGTTCACACTTCCATTACCATCCCTTCACAGACCGCGTTAACGTCGTGGACCGTACAACACCTGCTATCTGCTCGCTGATACATTTTACTCCCGGAACAGTCATCCGGAGTTGGCCGACCAGGAACAACCCTGAGAGCTAAGCACATGAGCCCCCCAGGAACACGGCCTTACTCTGTCACTGCTCCCAAGCCTGGCGCCCAGTTCAAGAACACAGGGTAGGGGCAACAAGCAAGTGTGGGGAACCCAGCACCCTGAGCAGCAGAGCAGGGGACGCCCAGGGCTGGGCATAAGAGCCCACCCAGTGGGCCTGACGTGGCTATCCTGGCCAGCTCTGGGAACTGGATTCCGGAGTGGGGAGAAGGTCTCACCACCCCAACTAAATTATCTGTGCTAAAAATAGGATCCATGCCAAAAGGAAGCCCGCCTTCCGGCTGGGAGTCTGGAACACTGGGAGGTGCCAGGCAGAGGGGCCTACATGACCTACTCCCCCTGGAAATCCCAAGCCCTGTATCTCTACAGGCTTCCCTGGTGGACAGAACCTCAAATGTGTTGCCACAACAGGTCCGTGAGAGCCCACGGGGACGGCAAGCTTGTCCTTGGCCTCCTACGGACTCTGCCTCCAGTGCCTTGTCCGTGTGCCGACTTTGCTCACTTTTTCTCTGTAAGAAACCTTAGCAGCAGCTCCTCCTCGTGAGTGACTGAGCCCGGGGACCTGAACTCACAGGCAGGCAGAGGCTCCCCAAACAAAGAGGACCTCCCTGCAACGGCTCTGTAAGCGGTGTGTGGACTAAGCGGTGTGTGGACGCGGTTTTTGCGGCCTGGGGGCAGGGAGAGCTCTGCTGTGAGCCTGAAGCCCCACCCACACGAGCGCCCTCACCCTGAGAGCCTTCCCCTCACCTGTCAGAGCCCTTCTAAGCTGAGGAAGGCGGATCCAGAACCCTGAAACTACCTGCCCAGTCGGAAAAGGATTTCTTTTTAACTCTGTTCAATTGTTTCCTCTGGATTCAAGAAACTTAAAAAATACTTTTTTTTTTTTTTTTTTTTTTTAAATGAGCTCCACGCTGCAACGAACTTTTAACCCTGAGATCCAGACCTGAGCTGAGACTAGCCGGCTTAACCAACTGAGCCATACAAGTGCCCCTCGGAGACACTTTCTGAGATCAAAACACTTTCAATACCTTTCAAGCAGGGGTGCCTCGCAGCTCAGCTGACCATCAAACTCTTGGTCTCAGCTCAAGTCATGATCTCAGGGTTGTGGGACCTAGTGCCACCATCAGGCTCCGGGCTCAATGAGGAGCCTGCTCAGGACTCCTTCCCTCCCCCTCTCTTCCCACTGGCATGTGCGCACACTCTCTCTCTCAAATAAACAAGTAAGATTTTAAAAAAGAAATACCCTTCAAACAGAAAATGTGTACTATTTGGGCCCTACACTTTACCCCACAAAATCAGCAACGCACCTGGTAAGGGCAGCACGTCTGCAGAAGCAGGTAGGTTCCCAAGGCCACACTTGAACACAGCCAAAGAGTCACTACGAAACAAGTGTCCATGGTACGGAGCCTGTCTCATCAGCCTAACGGCTTCCCAGGCCAGTGCCAGGTGCTGAGGTATCAGGAACCCTGACCCTTTGTCACAAACTCTCCAAGGCAGGACAGGCTACTTCGCATCACCAACAAGCAAAGAGCAGAGAAGAAGAGTCTAGAAATGCAGCTTCTCCACCAACAACTGTGAGACTGATACACTCCAAAGCCTCCGCTGTGGATCCCACAAACCAGCACCCCCACCCCCACCCCCCGCCAAACGGTGCTCTCCAGAACTTTCTCTCCAGCCCCAGTGTGCAGGGGTGAAGGAAGACCCCATTGCGGGCCCAGCTGCCACCTATTACGAAGACAACCAGGACACATCCGCAGGCCTCTGTCTACTCACATCTAAAAAAGGTGCACCTTTCCCAATGCCATGGGAGCACGAAAGCCACCCAGCCAAGCCAGCAGAGAACCCAGGTGACAGTCAGTGTAAGGTGAGTGGCCATCCAGAGCCTTACCATTCAAGAATATTGGAAGGGAGGGGCTCAGCACAGATATAAGGCACCGGGTCCTTCTTAATTCGAAGATAGTCCTGTTTCAGCCGCTGGGTCGCTGTTGTTGGAGCTCTTTTATTGCTGTTGCTGCTCATCTGTGGGAAACAAACACTTCTGCTCACAAAGGAAAGGGCACACCACTGCCTTCCTCACCCACAGACGGCTCAGCAGTCCTCCACTTGGCTTCCGTCTCCGCAGCCCAGCAGCAAGCCAAGCTAATCCCAGCCACCCAGAACCCAGGCCTGTGGGCTGTCCTGACTTGCCCACCCACTCAGACGCCTGCAGGACTGGCAGAGTCTCCTTTTCCGTCTGCCCTGCCACAACCTTCATTTATGTAACATCAGATGCAAAGATTAAGGGAAAAAAAGAGAAACCCAAAGCCTCACTCCTGTCGTCAAAGAACCAAAACGGGAAGAAAAATGTCGGATTGAAAGGGTCCTCCGTAGGTGTGCTGAAGCCAGCCTGGGCCAGGGCTCCTGAGTGACTGAGCAGTTCTCGCCAACTCTGTGCTAGCCCAACGTTGATACTGTGGGAATCAGGATGCACCCCAAACCAGCCCCCACGGAGAGCCTGTTGTCAGGCATTTTCCAACACATCTGCCACTGGTCAAAAGTGCATGGGAGGAACAGGGGAGCAGAGAAAGCACCTCTGAGACGGGAGAGAGATAGGGACCCTTGAAAGTCTGACACACATGACACACAAGAGGGAGAAGGAGCGCCCTCCAGAGAGAAGGAGCTACAGGGACACAGGCAGCCTCATGGGTCCAGGGAAGAGCCCTGGGCCACTCTGTAAGGAGCCAAGGGGCAGTAAATGAGACTGACAAGGCTGGGCAGGGAGGCAAGGCCAGGCGGCTGGGCAGCACATCACGAAGTTTTTAGGTCCAAGCCTGAAGGAAGATCAAATTTTCTGTTTGATCACTTGGACGTGGGGCGCCTGGGTGGCTCAGTCGGTCAAGCGTCTGCCTTCAGCTCAGGTCATGCACTATCCCAGGGTGCTAGGACGGAGTCCTGCATCAAGCTCCCTGCTCAGCAGGGAGTCAGCTTCTCCCTCTCTGCAAGCCCCCACCACCGCTCTCGCACTCTTCTCAAACAAATAAAATCTTAAAAAAAAAAAAAAAAGTTACTTGAACTGTTCAGTGACGGTCAAATGGGGCAGCTGAGATGGGATGGCAGGGACAGGACAGCACTGACGGCTGAGGACCAGGAGCGAAGTCACAGCCATCATTCAAGAGAAGAGGCATGACCTGGCTTAGAAGGCCCTGGGACACTTCAGCTATGCTCAGAGACAGAAGGGAGGGACGGTGAGAGAAGACAGAGCCCCCCAGCGTCACAGACATCCGAGCAGCTCCAACTTGAACTGCTATAAACGCTGAAGCTCCCCATAAGATGGCAAAAAAGTTCTGCTGCTAAAAATAAAGCGTGAAAGCTGCTGGTCTAAAATGCGATAGAGACAGAGGACACGCAGGGGCGCGCAGGAATGGAAAGGAGCAGCAGCTCCAGCTTCCAGGCGACAGCGGGGGCAAACTGGAGCCATACCTGCCCTGCTCTCCCCCGTGACACGGACACTGCCAGTCAGCAACCCGGGCCATCCTGCCACAGCACTGGACATCAGTGGTTAGGATCGTCACCCTGACCTCTGGCCTGTGCAGGCCTGAAGTCACTCCACCCCCACCTCCCACGACGGTGCGTGCCCTCCTCGTCTTCACCTCAGGGCCTCTGTGCGCTCATTTCCCGAGCGACAGCTCCGTCAGGTCAGAGGTCCACAGACTCCTGGCCCTTTGCAGGCCGAATTCCCCTCGGAGCACTCAGCCCCTCCACGCCAGCCAGGGCTCAGTGCGCTCGCCCTGTACCCCAAGGACCGCGGAACAATCCTCCACACACCACTGCCCACCGCACAACTTCAGGATCTCTGTTCCCCTCCTCCTCCTGTCCCCACTGCACCCGCCCTAATGGAGGATCTCATGACTGTTCCCATTAACTGCCCCAACAGCCTCCCAACTGGCCTCCACCTTCCAGTGTCACCCCGTTTCAGTCCGGCCTGTATACTTAGGTCCGATTAGCTTTTCCTCCAGCCGCAGCTCTGACCACAGCACTTCAAGAGTCCCCCAGCCAAGCAAGTAAACCTGGACGCCTCCCACTGCTCCCCAAGCCCTTGACAAAGAAGCCGCAGCTCTCCCTCCTAGCTCCCCGGTCCCAAATCCCTCCCTCGCCCTCGCCCCATCTGCTGGCAGAAAGTTCACTCAGGCCCTCCCTGGCCTAGTTCAAAAGTGAAGTCCCTCAAAAGCCTCCCCGATCTCCCCAAACGGCTCCACCCAGCCTCCCGCAGCCCAGCCCCGCAGCACACAGGCTCCCGCCACGCCCCAGCAGAGATGCTGGGGAACCCACAGCAGGACGAGTGACAGAACAGCCTGGGAAGGGACGCTTTCCCGCACAGCACTGCCCCCCAGCTCCCGGCCCAGCCACGCAGGCCAGGGGGCTCACTTGGGACCAGCACCTCCTAACGGACAGCCCCAAGCCGCCGCTCGGCACTCGTCCGGGCTCCTGCAAGCGTGCACGTGAGGTGGGCTCTCGGCCACGTGTGAAACAATTCTCTGGGTTACTCAAACGCCACTGTGTTTGGACTTAATCACGTGGCCGGGCCGGATGCCTGCTGAAGGCCACTGGGCAGCCACGCAAAACAGACGGGTCCAGCCTGGTCAGTCACAAACGTCTCTCTCATTCTTGCTCCCAAGCGCGGGTCTTCACAGTCACCTTTACGACTCAACTACTCGGCTCACGGGAAGGAAGGGCTCCCGGCGGACCCCTCCTGTGCCTCAGTCAGCGGTCGCACAGCCCCTGCAGCCTCCGGCACGGACACACCCCGTGAAGCATGTCTCAGGTTCCGTGCAAACCCCACAGACGGGGCATGTAAAAGTGCATTATGCTGAAAGACATTTAAAAAAAAAACGGCGTGAATAAAAAAATGTTCACCCCCAGAGGCTGGAAAACAGCAGCCTGAACCAGTGGGGGGGACGCGCCCTCGCAGCCCCCCCAGCATCCACCGCCCGTGCCTTTTTTTCTCCGCTCATCTCTTCGCTCCGTGGAAGCCAAACCCAGGTGACGGCGAGAGACCTTGGCCTGCAGGACCCGCTGGGCACGTGACACACCCAAGCCCAGGGCTTTCACGGAAGTTTCTGCTCTCTCCGCCGGGTGGGCTCCCCAGGCTGCAGCGAAGCCTGGGGCTGATGGAGGCAGCCCGGTTACCACGCCTGCGCCTGCCTGGGCGGGGAGCTGCCCCCGAGGTCACCCTTCAGAACGGGGCAGAGGCCGAACGGCAAGCTCTAGGCCCTGAGATGCGCGTGCCTGCTGGGCACAGCCGGTTTTCCGATTCCGCCCCTTTCCACCGACGCTGCCTCACCTGGAGCGCACGGAGCACCGGCCTCCCGCCGCGGGGCTGGGTTAGGGTTAGCGCTACGCCCTCAAGGCTGGGCCTCACGCTCTCGCTGCTCCACGCCTGGGCCCGGAGAGAGGCCGGGCCGCGGGTCTGAGTCAAACACAGGCCGGCCAGGTGCTGTCGGCTGAAAGCGGCCGACCCCGGGGCGGCCGCAGGTAACCCGCAGGCGCGCCGAGTGGGCGGCCACACGTGAAGAACCGGCCCGGGGCCCAGACGCAGCCGCCCGGCTCTCAGCGCCTCCTGCTCCCTCCTCGGCCACTGCCCCGACAGCCGCGACCCCAGCACACTCGTTCCTGCCGGGGCTCACGAAACCGCCTGGGGGCCGTGCAGGGGAAGCGGCGGCGGGCTCGAGGGCTGCCACCCCAACACCGATGCCCGGAGACATTTACACACCAAGACCCGTGCCGGCCAGTCCTGGAGGTGCCCGCGAGCGCCACGAACAGGAGGCCTTTCCGCAGCGACCCAGCCGCGGGGCCACCCACACCCCCAAGCTGGCCGGAGGAGCCGCCGGCCCGGAGCCCCGGGCGCCCCGCCGTAACCGACCTCCGGTTCCGCGCACGGAGGCTCCCGGCCGGGGCCCCTCGAGCGGCAGACCGGGCGGGGACAAGCCTTGCGACGGCCCCGTGCCCTCCGCGCGGGCCGGCGCCGGCGGGGCGGACGCGCGGCCGAAGCCCCGGCTCGGGCCCGCGCCGCGCTCTCACCTCTCCCCGTCGCCGCGCGTGGGCCGCCGCCGCGCTCAGGCTCGCCGTGGTCGAGGCCGGAGCAGGGAAGGAAGAGCGTGGCCCGCGCCGGAGAGCCGCACCGCGCCGGGACGGAAACCACCGAACCGCCGCAGCGCCGCCGCCGCCGCCTCAGCCTGCAAGATGGCCGTTCGCGGGGCGGGGGAGGCTCATCCCCGCTTCCGATTCCGGTGCGCCGCGCTCGGGGGCGGCCGCTCTAGCCGGCCCGGCGGACGTCGCCTGCGTCTCGCTGCCACCTCCCGCCCCGCGCGGCTGAGAACGTCCGCGCGTGCGCACTGGCGAGCGGCCTCGTGGGGCGGAGCCCGGGGCGGAGGGTCGGCGCGTGCGCACGGGCAGGCAGTGCCGCAGCGGGCGCGGTGCGGGCTCGGACGCGCGGTCTCTTTGGTGGTCTAGTCAGGCGGTCGGGGCTCTGTGAAGCATCCTTCCGCCATAATGCTGTCCCGCGGGCGGCCCCAGGGGTTGTCAGCGGCCGCAGGGATCCTGGACCCCCTCACCCTGCACAGTTTCTTCTTCCCCGAGAAGCCCGGCCGACGGGGCCGCCCCAGAGCGGGGCGCGCCGTTCTGGGGAAGACAGACAAGCCCAGGCAAAGGGTGACCCCCGAGGCGCCGGCGTGCTCTCCGCTTTGAGTTCACTGGGACCCCGACTCTCCCGTCGGCTACCTTCCAAAGGACGGGGCCGGTCCGGCCTGGGGGGGGCGCGGTCCTCGTGCCGTGCCGTCGTGTAACAGGAGAGCGCCCGAGGCACTAGGGTCCCCCGGCCCCATCAGTGACTGAACCCGCTCTGGCACCTGAGGGTCAGGTCCTGACTGGCCTTCCTTGCCTGGCCACCAGTGAGGCGCGGGGATGGGGAGACCCGCGAGAACTTGTGTCAGGTGGGGTCTGCCGTGGGCAAGCCTGTCCAACCCCTGCCCATGGCGAGAGCCGGCCTCATAAAAATAGTTCCACTGTTTCCCCAACTGAATTTTCCACCCAGCCCATGAATAGGGTCATTATGCAACAGTGGACACTGCACTGAGGCTTGCCTTCTGCTCCCACGGTCCCCTCCCTGGCGGGGGGGGGGGGGGGGGGGGGCGGAGAAGCTGGCCACCCCGACATGGGAGTATGCCTGAAACAGGCAGGTGGGGAGACTGTTCCAAGGGCCAGTGTCAGTGGAAAGGACCCCGAGTGCAGAGGCCTGGAGCTGACCCTCTCCACCTCCTCAAGTCTGCCATGAGGGAAGTTCTGGGGGGACATGAGGATGACACACAGGAGGTAGGAAAGTTGGTGTCTGAATGTGGGGTGTGCGGGGTGGCTGAGCAAACCAGCGTAAGCTGCCTACCGCCCTCCCTAGAGAGAAAATCCAAGACAGGCCCAAGTGGGGGCCTCAGGTGTCCCCCCATAGGTTGTGTCAGGGGAAATGCTGCATACCAACTAGGAGGCAGGAGGTGGTCATTAGCCCGGACAGATCTGGAGAGGTCATTGCTGTGTTGGACTGTATGGCTCTGTGGGACATAGCTGGGGCTCCAGCCCTGCACCGTGCCCCTGACTGCCTCATGGCTTGGGCCACGAGTCAACGTGGTAACTGATCACATGCCCATGACAGTGGACACTGGGCACCAACAGGTCCAGCCGTGGCAACTGCCGGAGGACAGGCACCATGCTGACCCTTGAGTCTGGCCCACCCAGGAAATCTCAGGCAGGGTCTGAGCAGCTGTGGCAGATCTGGCCCCAGGCCTTGGGTGGAACCCCGAAGGAATGCTCATGGTCCCTCCATCCATCAAGTCAACCCGTGGGAATCCGGCCTGCTTCTGCCTCCAACCATATCACCCGTCCCCGGCCTGCCTGCCTTCTGGGGAGGCTGGCAGGTTCCAGAGCTCAGCCTCCTGCTGACACACTCAGCATGCTGACTTCACTCCTCTGCCTCTTCCAGGGTCCGCCATCCCCACAAGGGGCGGACTGGCTGTTTTTAGCACATAGGAAGTTATGTAAGGGAGGCCTCTCCGGGGCAGCTGGGGTTCGAGCGCAGGTGTGTCTGGCACACACCCACACACACCTGCAGAGCACAGGCTGTGAGAGTGCGGTTGGGGCTCCAGGCAGGTAGAGGCCCTCTCTTGCCTCAGTTTGTCTGTGTAAAATGGGGGTGCTGACTTATGTGGGAGCACCTTGTTGGGAAAACTCAGCTCGGAACCCCTCAGCATCAGCCCCCACCCTCCTGATCACCAAGCACCCTGAGTCACACCTAAGGGAGAAGGTCCCGAAGATAGATGTGGCCAGCAGGTCCTGCCAAGACCTCACTCCAACCACATATGCTGTCTTCCAGGTTCCCAAGGCCCAAGCTGCCCAGCCCTCTGGCCATAGAGCTGATGGCCCCAGCAGTTGAGACGGGCGTGGGCAGCTCGGCTGGCAGCAAATGACAACTGAGACCGTCTCAAGCTCCGAAGTCACCTTTTGGGGCACAAGGAGCAGCCATTTCTGCCAGTCTTCCAGCCCCTGCCTCTTGCGCCAATGGCCCCGCTACAGGAAGAGGATGGCTGTGCTCACTCCTGAGCATCTTGGGTGGGGGGGGCCCATGGCTCTGTGTGGGAAGAGCTACCAGGAAACCAAGAGGGTTAGAGTGAAGCAAACATCCCCTACCTGTGGGCTGCTACTCCCTCCCCAGGCCAGGGCTCAAGAGGGGGTCCCGAAGAGCCAGCCTGGAGGTGACCTGGCAGGAAGGGTTCACACACCCCGCCCCTTCCAGGGGGAGACACCTGGCCAGACCCTGAGCCCCACCCCTCCCACCTGGCTGGAGGCACCTCAGGGAGCCCCTCTGGGCTCGCTGCAGCCACTGCTTAACCCTGTGGTCAGTGTTTGAAGGGGTGGGGGTGTTCCCCATTTGCACCAAGAAGGCCCCTCCCCCTCCCAGAAGCGGGTGGGCCAGCCCACAGACCCCCACCAGCCCACATCCACCGGGAATCCACCACACATGCAGAACCCATGGGCTCAGACTTCACCTCGGTCACACCAGAAGCCCCAGGACCATCTCTAAGCTGGCCCCGAGGGAGGGGGGTACCCGCAGGTGAGTAAGCTGAGCCTGGGGAGCCCCAGGAGACAGCAGGCACCGACAGTCTCTGGGGCAGCCCCGGCTTGGAAGGGGATGCTGGGCACCCCTAGGCCCAGCCTCAGTGAAGCCTATCCCTCGAAGTCCCAAAGAGGTGATACTCGGGATGTGGGGGACAGCCGTCCTACCATCCTTCTGGGGAGAGGGTGCAGGGTCTGGGACCACCTGCCTGTCCCTTCTCTGAGGTGTCCTCACATTCCTTCAGTACGGTTCTGGAGGGTGACCACATGGGCCTCCCCTGTGGCAGGAGCTGGGGTCACCCAGTCCTGTCCCAGCCTGCACTCCTGCTCCTTCTGGGGCCGGGGAGGCCTGGGGAGGCAGGAGGAGGGAAGCACCAGGAGGGGAGGATACAGTCTCTTGGCGTGGTGAGACAGCCAGAGTGCTCTCTGCCCTCCCAGAGGTGGGCTCTGGGGTGACCTCCTCCCCCCACACTGGTCACGGATCCTGGCCCCGGGCGCCTTATGCGTAGGCCGTTCTCAAGCTGTTTCCCCAGGATGAGGGAAGGAGGCTTTGTGCCTTCTGCCTTGAACCCCTCTGGTATAGGTCATCACAGGCTTTCCTCTGTCCCTGGCCAGGGCTCCCTCTCCCACAGGAAAGTAGGGGCTCCTGTTCCCTGTAAGATGCCCTTGGCTGGCAGAGACTCTGGCTAGACTTGAGCCCCCCAAGACCGGGGTCTCCAGGCCCCTCCTTCCTGGAAGCACCCTTCTTCAGCCTCCTGAGTCACAGGTCACTCCTGCTCTGATTACCCAGAGCCCCTGGGACCCTCCTCTCTGCCTAGAGGCCTCCTCGAGGACAGTGTGCCCCCCATCCCCTCAGTAACATCGCCTAGTCCACAAAGGAAAACTGCTCTGTAGAAGAGGGCCTGTGACACCCCGGGCCTGTGCTGAGTCTGTAGAGCCTGATGGGGGCTTGGGGAGGGGTATCCACACCAGTGGTGTTGGCTGGTCCTACCCCTGAGCCTTGAGCAGGAAGAGGAAACTAAGGCCCATGTTGCACTTGAGGAAATGGGCTCCGAGAGGTTGATTAATTTGGGCAAGTTCACATGGTAAGTGTCGAGCCGTGATTCGCCCCCCCCCCACCCCGCTCTTCCCCAGGCAGGCATGACATCCTTCTCCCAGACGTCAGCAAGGGCCATCTACCTCCTTCCAAAGCCACAGGGCTGATGGCCTCACCCCTCCTCAGAGCCAAGGCCTCACCAGCAGGGCCTATCGGAAGCGAGGCTCCCTCCCTCATCCCAGTCCAGGCCCTCCACACTGATTTGGAGTGGGGTGTCAAGAACCTAGAGCCTGCCTCTGTGGGGGAGCGGGGGAGGCAGAAGGGCCTGTGCCACACCCTCAAACCCGGGACCAGGCTGAGGGTCTGGTTATTGGGATGTGAGGTTTCTGGGTCATCCTGGGGACATGCTGGACCCCCCACTGGGGCCAGAGGTGGCGGGGCACCCTGGGACTGGGGGGCACTGGGCATCCTGCCCTCAGCACAGCATCCAGCCTTACCCAGTCACAGTGAGGCCCAGGACTTCAACCCCCATGACAGTGTGATCTGGCCCGAGTGTGCTGTGCGTTCTTGGCATGTGGTGTGTGGTCGTAGTGTCTCTGCGGCCAAAATGTGTGGTGTGTCATCTTTGTGGGTGGTATGTTGTCTTAGTGTGTGGTGTGGTCAGTGGTGGCCTTCGCGTCTGCTGGGCAGGGGAACCGTATGCTGCAGGGCGCCAGGTGTCATCTCCACACCCAGGGCCTGGGTTGTTCCCACAGTTCGAGCCTGCCCCAGTGGCTGGGTGACCAGCCCTAGACACGGGGGTTCTGGGAGCACAGGCCCCTGCCTGGCATCCCTCGGTCACAGACACCTGTGGTCGGTGCTGCCATTGTGAGCCGGGCAGGCAGTGGAGGGCAGGCATCCCTTGCTGGCCTGTCAGGAAACAGAGAAGCGAGGGGCGGTGGATGGGGAGGGGTTGGTTGCTGCGAGCAGAAGAGCAGGTGTCCGACCCCTGAGAGATCTGAGCTTTGGGAGCTGGAGGAGGGGAGGGTCTGCTCCTCGAGAGGCAGGTGAGCCGTGCAAGGGGGTCTCAGCCAACACAGACCTCTCCTCTCCCTCTAGAAACCAGGAGCCCCTCATCCCCAGGCCTCACATCCAGGGCTCTGCGCGAGAAAAGCTCACCAGGGGAAGGACCCCCATCCCTGCCCTCATGGCTTCCCCTTCCGGGTCCAGAGTGGGTGTGTCTGGCCCTGGCAGATGGGCCCCTCCCAGCCTCATCCCACGCCTAGGCAGCCTGTTATAAAAAGAAGGCTGCCAGGCCAGTGTCGGGCCACATCCCACTCTGTCTTGTCACCTCCTAGAGCTGCCGTCACTGGGGCCACCCGCCACGGAGAATGGAGGCACCTGCAGAGGGAGACTCCGGCTTCCAGGTACCAGCAGGGCCCCTGACGTGGGCTTCCTTTCCCATGGTTGGGGGCAAGGAAGGAAGGTCATTCCTCGGGGTCTCTGGAACCTGAAGTGGAGGGGGCTGTGTCTCACATGTCACCCTGAGCACATGCAGGCACCAAGGGCAAGAGAAGAGGGTCATGCGGTCCCCACCAACCGAGGGCTTGGTACGTATGATGGGTGTATGTGTCTATGTACACATGTGTGCACGTGGGTGTGTACAAGGAGGCCACGCACCCCTGCTGCTGCCGCATCAGACTTGGGGCACCTCCGATCCCTCAGTGCATCTGGGGCCATCCCAGGTGTCTGGACCCTGACCCGTCTCAGGAAGCCCTGGAGGCTCTCAGGGGTCCTCGAGGTCCCCATCTCCAGGGTGTCCCCTCTTCCTACCCTGCCAGCCCCAGCTGAGCCAGGAGGGGGCTGCTTTGGGCTACACGTCTAGAGGAGGGTAAACGTGGCTGCTGGAGTCAGAAAGAACCTTCTGGAGCCCTTTCTGCCTAACCTACAACACGCAGCTGAGGATCCTGGCCCACCCTGAAGACCCAGTGTGATCCTTGGGGACAAACACACATGGGCAGAGCTCTGTGCAACGTGAGAGCCAGCGTGAGGACCCCATGCTGGCGCCCACTCCTGGCTGGACGTGGGGGAGGCCCACAGACCTGAAGCGGGGAAGGAAGGCCACCTACCCTCCCCGTGTGCCTGTGGCCCCACGCCGCCGGCTGGCCTGCTCCGACACGCAGTTTCCCAGAGCGCAGGGGAGCAGCCCGCTCAGGCCCAGCAGGCGGGGCACCTGCTGGCCGAGACGCAGCAGGGGCTTCCCCGCTCAACCCCCTGCCCAGGTGACTCAGGAGGGGGCCAGAGCTCAGGAGGCTCTGCCCTGGGTGCAGGGAGGCCTAGTGATTCAGACCAAAGAGGCAGACGGTGTGGGAAGTCCCCCAGAGGCCTGCCCGGTGACTCCACAGGTTTTCGGGAAGAGTAGGCCTGGCCTCGTCAGGGTCCCATGTCCCTGTGTGCTGGGGGTCTGGGGGGTCTGGGGGTCCTGGGTCTGTGGCCCTACTTCTCCAGGGCCCTCAGGTCCCCACCACTGGCCAGCCCACTGGCCCCCGCCCAATCTTCCTGAAGCCCACGTTCCACAAACAGGGTTTCCCTGGGCACAAGCTCAGCAGATGCTCCCTCGCTGGGGTCCAGAGCACTGAACGGTCCTCAGGCCCAACCTTCGGCCCAGACGTGGCCAGAGCAGCTTGGTTCCATTAGTCCCAATCAAGCATGGCCATGCTGGCCACTAAGAGTGGGTAGAGGCCACCGAGGCACAGAGTCTTGTCTTTGTAGGGGCCCCAGACCTTCAACATTGGCTCAAGGCCCAAGGACACAATACAGTCCCCACCCCAAGCAGGTCACCTGGCCTGCCCCTCTCTAGAGGCCCCTGCCCCATGTGAGTGGACAGTGACTGAGACCCCCCCCACCAGCCTCCAGACTGCATGCAAACAGGACCAGTGAGGGCTTGGACCCCATGTTCTCTGCTGTCCCTGTCCCCACCAGCAGACCCCACGCTGGCTGCAATAAGACAGGCCTGCAGAGGCTGCCCGGTGCCCTGCCCCAGGGTGGGGGTTGGGGTGGGGGGCTGCAGGGACAGTCCCAAGCCCCCCGATAGGGCCTCTTTGGAGCATCAGGGGGCTGGGTGGTGCCACTGGTGACCAAGAGACAGAGGATGGAAGTCCTACCAGCCCAAGGTGAGGAGGCCCGAGTTGGAGTTGGGCCGGGCAACAGACTGGGGCCACACTAAGGCCGCTTCTCGGACACAGGGAGGAGCCACGGCCCGCACAGCCACAGCCGGTGGTTCCCCGACGGTCCCCGAGGCCCAGCAGCCGCCGCCAGCCCTGGAGGAGGACAGGCGGAGGGAGGGGCTGGTGGAGCTGCACACCTCCTTCCGGGCGCTGCTCACCTTCTTCTGCACCAACGCCACCATACACGGCACCATCCGCCTGGTCTGCTCCAGCCAGAGCCGCGTCAGGACGGCCTCGTGGGGGCTGCTGGTGGCAGGCGCCCTGGGCGTGCTCTACTGGCAGTTCGGGCTCCTCTTTGCCGAGTACTGGCGCTACCCGGTGGTTGCCACAGTGTCGGTGCACTCGGAGCCCAAGCTCTTCCCAGCCGTCACTCTGTGCGACATGAACCCGCACAGGTGAGGGGGGCCCACTCCCACCTCTGCGGCCTGCGGCATCTCCCCGGCTGCGGTCACAGCGGAAGGTCAACCGGGTCACAGGCCCAGGCCGCGGAGGGCCCCACCTCACTCCACCCTTGTGCCCAGTTGCTCAGTCGGGAGCCCTGAGACCTCTCTCCGGGCAGCAGCAGTGGGGTGGGGGTGGGGGGCGGTGTGTTCAGGGACAAAGAAGAGCCAGCTGGACCTTGGAGTGATCAGAGCCACCCAGACACAGGGTCTGGGCAGTCCGGGAAGGGTGAGGGGAGGTGGGAGGGAGCCTTCCAGCAGGACAGCCTGGAGCTGGGCTTGGGGGTGGGGAGCAGGACGACAGTTCAGGTGAGGAGGCAGAGGAGCAGAGAGGAGCTGGGGCCCAGCCAGGGGGCTGGCAGAGTCTGCACGGGCTGGGGGTGCTTCTGGGGTATCCAGGCTGGTCTCTGGGATCAGCACCATGGTGGCAGACCCTACTCTCCCCAGCAATACCTTGGGACTGATGTGGGGGCTCTGACTCACTCGCACCCTCCCCCCCACCGCCCAGGCCACGCTCAGCCCGCCACCACCTGCAGGTACTCGATGAGTTCTCCCAGGAGAACATCCGGTCTCTCTACAAGTTCAACGTCAGCACGAACAGGGACGTCCTCTCTGCCGCTGACCAGTTCCCACAGCCCGCCTTCTACCTGGACCGCGGGGTCCGCCTGCAGAGGCTGAGCCGACCCGGTGGCCAGAATAAAGTGGGTTTCAGACTGGTGAGTGTCCCTAGCCCTGCACGGTCCCAGCACACTGTCACTCTGCAGATCTCTGAGTGGGGGGCAGGCAGGTGAGAGGGCCGTGCTGACCGGCCCCCCACGGCCCGCAGTGCAACAGCACAGGTGGGGACTGCTTGTACCGTGCCTACACGTCGGCTGTGACAGCCGCCCGTGAGTGGTACCACTTCCATTATGTGAATGTCTTGGCCCTGATGCCCACCGCCCACGAGGACGGCCACCGCAGCGACAGAGGCCACTTTGTCCTCTCCTGCCGATTCGATGGCCAGGACTGCCAGGCCCGGTGAGTGGGGGGCAGGGCAGCTGAGTGCAGGCATGGGTACCGCCCCTGGGGTCCGGCTGGTGGCAAACAGCTGCCCACAGAGGTAGGACAGGCCATAGGCCCTCAGGCTCCACGCAATGGGGTCCTGGGCCGAAGGGGGTGTTGGTATGAGTGTGATTCCCGGTTCCAGGGACTTCCGGACGTTCCACCACCCCACGTACGGCAGCTGCTACACCTTCGATGGCGTCTCAGCTGCACAGCACCCAGGCGTCACCCACGGTGAGTGCCAGCCCACAGCTGAGTGGGGCAGGGGACATCCAGGCCAGCCTGGCCTCACCCCCTTCTTCTCCCAGGGATCAGCCTGGTCCTCAGGGCTGAGCAGCGGCACCACCTCCCTCTGCTGTCCACGGAGGCTGGTGCTAGGGTCCTGATTCATGGGCATGACCACACGCCCTTCCTGGAGCACCAGGGCTTCAGCATCCGGCCAGGGACCGAAACCACCATCGGCATCCGAGAGGTAGGTGGGCCCACGGGAGCCAGGGCAGAGGAGGGGCCCCAACCCTCCCACTCCCCACCTCCCTCCCCAACCCTGGGGGACCAAGGGCAAGGACAGCTGCACTGAAGCGTGCCCCCTACCCTAGGACGAGGTACGCCGGCTGGGGAACCCCTACAGCCACTGCAGCGAGGGGGCAGAGGGTGTGGACGTGCGCCTGCTCTACAACGCCTCATACACACGGCAGGCGAGTCTGGGGCCATGGTGAGGGGAGAACAGGAGCTTCTCAGGAGGGACAGGGAGGCCGGGAGAGAAGGCGGTCAGGGAAGGGAGACCTGGAGACTGGGTTGGCCCTGGGAGAGGGAGGCCAGGGAAGGCTTAAGGGAAGGCCCAGGGGAGGTAGAGGGCAGAGATGGGGAGTTGGGGGCAGCAAGGGAGGCGCCCAGGGGAAGGGGTGGCCAAGGGGGAGGGGAGTGAAGGAGGGGGCAGGGAGGGCAGGAGCACTGCTGAGAGGGAGGTGAAGCAGGCCCTTTGTGGGCCCTGGGGGGGGGGGATGACCGCCTCCAGGACCTTCAGCTCACGTCCCCTGCTGTCCCCCCAGGCCTGCCTGGTGTCCTGCTTTCAGCAGCTGATGGTGGAGACCTGCTCCTGTGGCTACTTCTTCTACCCCTTGCCGTCGGGGGCCGAGTACTGCAGCTCCGCGAGGCACCCGGCCTGGGGTGAGAGACCCCCCACCCGGCCACTGGTGGGGAGTGCGGTCAGGCCTTGCCAACCTGCAAACCTCTCCACCACCCCGGGGTCGATCCTAGCGGGTTCAACTCTCTGTCCCCCCGCACCGCCACAGGTCACTGCTTCTACCGGCTCTCCAGGGACCTGGGGACCCACCGGCTTCCCTGTAGCTCACGCTGCCCCAGGCCCTGCAGGTGGGTGGCTGGTCTGGGGGCTCAGGGTCAAGGGCTACTGCCACAGCAACCCAGCAGGAGTGTAATGGGGGGGTCTGTCTCTCCCAGGGAGTCTTCCTACAAGCTCTCTGCCGGGATCTCCAGGTGGCCCTCCTCCAAGTCAGCTGTGAGTGCCCTAAAGGGGTGGGTAAGGGGCGGACAAGCAGGTGGGTCTCCAGGTCCCAGAGGGCTCACCCTAGACCAGCTTGTGCCCCTGTGGTCCCCGCTCTGAACACCTGCCCCGCAGCGCCCTGAGTGCTGTGAGGAACAGCGGCCCCAGTGAGCCTTCTGTGTACAGGACTGGATCCTGGCTGTGCTGGGCAAGCAAGGCCACAGGAGCCTGGGCCAGACCCCTAGCCTCAGGTGGGTGCACTCCCCCTCCAGAGGACACGTCCCGGCCCCTCCCTCTGCCAACCTTGTCCTCAGTACCCCTGCCATGCGGGCACCTGGGCCCAGCCCCTCACGACTCTGCCTTGCCGCAGGAGTAGCGTGGCCAAGGTGAACATCTTCTACCAGGAGCTCAACTACCGTATGGTGGATGAGACACCAGTTTACTCGGTGAGCCAGCCAGGGACCCACGGCCTTGGAGGGGCTGGAGCAATGGTGGGCCAGATCCCCCAGGGCCCAGCCGTGGGCACCTGCTCACCACCCCCTGATGCCTGCAGGTGCCCCAGCTGCTGTCAGCCATGGGCAGCCTCTGGAGCCTGTGGTTCGGCTCCTCCGTCCTCTCTGTGCTGGAGCTGCTGGAGCTGCTGCTTGACGCCATGGCTCTCGTGCTGCTTCGGGGCTGCCGCTGGCTCCACACAGCTCGGGGGTCCCAGCTGGGGGCAGCCACAGGGGCACCCCCCATGATCCCAGGAGCTGACCAGTTACCCACTGACCGCAGGAATGACATCAACCATCTGGGGGGCCCTGCTGGCCTCGTGCCCCGCAATACTTCCAGGAGCTCTGGCCGGAGTCTTTGCTGAAGAGTTAGGCCACACAAGGCCCCCCTGCCCCACGCCCGAACCAGCGGGAGCTTATTCTGATCCTGAGGGATGTGGCTGCAGCAAGCTCTCCAGGCTGCCCATGGGGAACCAGACCTGCCCCCCAGAGCCACTGCCAGCCAGCCAAGCCAAACCCAGGGCCGGGGAAGCTGCACTGGGGCCTCCAGGCAGGCAGGCAGGAGGGTGCCCAGCCCACCGGGCACTCTCATCAGCCAGCCATCTGCCCAGCAGTGGCCTCAGGGACGCCCAGGGCAGCGGGGAGGGGAGTGTCCCTACCTCTCTGGATTCCCATGTCTAGTCCGTGAGCTGCTGGGAGTGTGGGTGCATGCAAGGGAGGAGGGGCCTCCACAGGGGAGTGTGGCCGTGTGTGGTTGGTGTCATGTGAATATATATGCGTTTCTAAGTGTGTCAACACATCTGTTTATGCCTGTGTGCAGCTATGCACAGGCATGGGGCAGGAGCCGTCCTCAGCTCGGGGCAGGTGGGAGAAGGGCTGCTTTGTAGTAAATTAGCCATTCCACCTGGCGGCCGCCTTGTGTGCTCCTTCCCGGCGACCCTTCCTGAGGGACCTGAAAGCCCCAAGCTGCTGCTCCACCTCTGGGAGACACAGACACGCTGTGGGGGCTGGGGGAGAGGAGGACACGGTGCCCGTGGCCAGCTTGTGGGGTCAGGGCTTGGCCGGGAGAGAGGACCAGCCCCGGACCACACTCCTTGGTTAGCGTCCCTCGCTGCTGCTCCCTCCAGGGGGCACAGTCCAGCCCAGAGAAAGGCAGGGAATGAGGGCTGGGGGTGTAGGGAGTCAGTTTCCATCAAAGAAGCCCCAGGGCCGCCCGCAGGGCCCCCAGCAGGAGGGGCCTGGGTTCTGGCTTACCGCATCCTTTTGGGGCACTCAGGGCCACCCCTCAGGGGAGGCAAAGGGCCCAGAGACACCCCCTCCCCAGCTGAGAGAGTGGAGTAAGGCAGGTGAGCCAATGACAGCAGTTTATTATCAACTGTGATCTGGAGCAGGGGCGGGTCCTGCCAGCCCGAGGCCCTGATGCAGGTCCTGGGGGGAGGTGGGGGTAGAGCGCAAGCAGGGAGAAAGAAGGAAGCTAATTCTGCTCTTTAGGGCTCACAGCCAACAGGCAAGAGAGTTGGGGGGCTGGGTCAGCACCCACCTTGCCGCCCACGGAGCCTCCCTGGACAGCTTTTGCATAGTGACCAGACAACTGGCCTTGGCCACACCAAGGCCGCAAGTTGGGGAGAGGGCTCCGGGAAGGGCGACTGCAGAATGAACAAGTTGGTGGGCCCTAGGGAGTGAGCTGAGGGACCCCTGGGGCCACCCCAGGGCCCAGCTAGAGGGCTGAGGCCGGAGAGGGACGGGGCAGAGCGGCAGGAGCCTCCCCCTGCAGCCGGCAGGGCCAGGTGCAGGGCCAGGTGCGTCAAAGTCATCCTCAAGAGTCCACGGAGAAAAGACGCAAGAAAGGTGAGAAAGAGGTCGTTGTAGAAAACCCCCTCAGTCTGTGATAAAGAATGTCGGATGCGGGGGTGGAAAGTGCCAAAGTCCTTTATGCACCGGCTCGGGGCCAAGGGACAGGTCTCTGGCCACCCAGCACTGGGGCCTGCGTGGCCAGCCACATGGCCTTGGGACGCCTGCGTCCAGCCAGGGCTGAGGCCCCAGGCCACAGCCCTCCCCCCAGCACCCGAGAAGCCCAGCCTGGACGCCGGTCACTAAGTGAGGTACACGGGTTGATTCCCTGGGTGGGCTGCCCCTTCAGCCCTCACAAGGCGCTGGTGGCCAGCCACCAACCGTAGGGCCTAGCAGAGGGGCTCTGGGGGTGTAGGAGGGACCCAACTAGCAGGTCAGTGTTCTACGGCAGTAAAGGTGGGGGCACGAGGTGACACAGGCCCTGAAGGTAGAGAGGAACATGAAGTGACACAGGTCCTAGGATGGACGGAGGGGCACAAAGTGACACAGGCCCCCGGGGGGGAGGGGCTTCTGAGGGGCAGAAGGTGACACCGGGCCTTCAGAGTGGTTTGTGACATAAGCAACCCAGGTGCCCAAGAAAGGGGTCACCTAAGACGCAGGGTCCCCAGGTGTGGTGATGGGCACCAGGTGACGCAGCACCTCCCAAGGGGAAATGTGGGCTTCTTAAGACTCAGTGTTGGAGTCTCTCCCAGCCCGAGAGGCCGGGACAGCTCCAAGGAGGGCAGAGCAGGCAGCCCGGGCTCCAGGGCTGCCCAGGCACTGGGGCTCTCAGGAAGGGAGCCGGTGGCCACCACAGGCGGAGCGGGCGGGGACGGGGCAGTCCAGAGCCGGCCCGCCCCGCCCTAGCTCTCCTCCAGGTGGAGGCTGATGAACTCCTGGATGCACCTGCGGTACTGGAGCTCCGTGGGGCTGCTCCCCGACAGGGGGCCCGGCTGGCCCGGGGGGGCCTCCGCCTCTCGCATCTCCTCGGCCATGCGCGCCAGACGGAGCCTGGGGGAGGCACAGGATGAGCCGCGCCCCCCGCCCCCCCACGGGGTTCCCCTCCGGCCCCACCCCGGGCCCCGCCCGCGCTCACAGCGTGACGATGTCCGCGTTGGCCTCCTGGATCGCGATGCTCAGCGGGTCCTGCTGCTCGTGGTCCAAGGCATGCTGGTCAGCTCCCCGCTTCAAGAACAGGCAGACCTGACTGGAGGCGGGAGGGGACAAGTTGGGGCTGGCCTGGGGCAGGCCAAGGCGACCCCCTGGCCCAGCCCCCACCGCGGGCAGGAGGGCCGACGGAGACTCACCCCGTGCGTCCCAGGAGTGTGGCGTGGTGCAGGGGCGCCCGGCCCCGGCTGTCCCTTTGGTTCACATCTGCTCCGTTTTGCAGAAGGAATTCACAGACAACCAAGGAGCCCTGGGGACCGAGGACAGTTCAGACTCCCCTGGGAAATGGCCCCTTGCTGGCTTCCAGGAGGCTACCAGGGGTCCCCGTGTTGGCGCCATACGAGAGAGAGCTCTGAAGATGCACCTGTGTCCCACGCAGCCCCCCCGCCATCCCCATGCCTGCTCACCCCTAACACCGCCTGCACCAGTGGCGTCTTGCCCTCGTCCTCCGCGTCTGCCCAGTTGACCTCCGCCCCGTGCGCCAGCGCCGTGGCCAGTGCGGGTAGGTCTCCAGTGCGCGCGGCACGGTGTGCCAGAAGCCCGGGGTGCAGCTCACGCACGTCTGCCAGGCCCCAGGCCTCAGCCTCTCCGTCCGCCTCACCGCTGGACTCCTCCGACTCTGCAGCCTCTACGGGGAGGGGTTAGGTCATGAGCTGCTACACGACAGAGCCCGGATCGGGGTTGTGGGAGGGCGGGGCTGGGCAGCGGCCGAGGCAGGGAGGTGCGCACCCACCCTCCTCCGTGACGCTGTCCACCACGGAGCCTGCGCCGAAGGCCAGCACGTCCGAGCTGCCATCAGAGCTGCCTCCTAGGCCACTGTCGCTGCTCAGACCTGCAGGGTCCGGGGACGGATGGGGGGCCTTAGAGTCCCTGACTCCACCCAGAGCCCTGTGGGAAGGCTAGAGCTCACATCCATCCTCCAGGGATGGCCCCAGGGACACAATCAGCCCCCAGGAGCGGAGGGGAGCACTGCCTAGGATGGGGGTAGGGGGAGAAAACAGCTCAAAGGAGCCAGAGGATCTCACACCAGAGCACAGCCCCAGGGGAAGCCCCAACTGTGGGAGGCCAGCCCCAGCAGGACTGATGGGGTGAAACAACCCTGAGCAGTGGGGGCCTTCCACTGAGTCTGTGGCAAGTGCATGTGGCCAGCCCACTGAGCAGCCACAAGGCCTTCACCGGGAGGCCCCGGGGACACCTCCGGCCCACCCCTCCCCCACGACATCCAGTGAAATCTCTGATGGTTTCCCCAGGGCGGCCCCAGAAGCAAGAACGGTGAGGCATCGCCCTCTGCTGCCGGAGGCCATCCCAGTCACCGCCCCCAGCCCTGTCAGTTCTTGGCCTGGGTCCATGCCTTCTGCCCACATTGCCCAGAAAGGCTCTAGGGGTACCCTGGACCACTGGGTACCCATAAATCATTAGCAGGAACCCCTCGGTCGGGAGCCCTGCTTGTAGCATTTGGACCCCAGCTCCCAGAGGAGCTGGGAGAGATGCACAATTGTGTCCCACATTCGGTCTCCACCACAGCTGTCGGCTCCCGGCATGCAGGTGCGCGTGCACACACACACACACACACACACACACACGTGCGCACATGGGGCCCTCAGTGCACACGGACACATCCACCGCATATACGCACTTTCAGCCACAGACCCCCTTTACACCCACATGCACACACACACGCCCTCACTCCAGTGTGCAAACCACATGCAACTCGCATATACACTGTTGCAGATCACGGCCTCAGCCTCCAGCTCTGGCTGAGTAACCCCAGACCCTCCGGATACTATCTCAGCCTTAGCCCTGCTTGACCCCCAAGTTCTCCCCAGCACCAACCCAGTCCTTCCTGCAAGGGACACCTGTCCCCCAGTCTCCAAGCGAGTGGCTGTGGCTGTCCACATTCACCACCTCACGGGAGCCACGCCCAGTCCCTGCTCTGCTGCCCCGACAGAGCCAAGGGGACTGGGCCGCAGGGGACAAGGGCCCTCACAGCACTTACTACGTGGACCAGCTGCAGCAGCCCCTGCATCAAAGTAGGAGAAGAGGGAGTCCAGCTCATCTGGGCAGAAGAGAGAATCCCTCCGAAACTTGCGCTCCACACCACCTGAGGCAGGGAGATGGGTAAACTGAGGCACGAGGCAAAGGAGGGTGCCCAAGTCCTGCTGGGAGCCTCTGCCTCCCCCCTGCCCTACTCCACCTTGATGCTCCTGGGGCCTGAGGTTCGGTGGCTCATGCCCCCGCTGGAGCCTGCTTCCCACCCCTGCACGGCTGTGCGAGCTGAGGCTTCAGCCTGCGGGTACCTGAGGACAGGGCAGCCACGGAGGGCAGGACAGGCTCCAGGCGGACCTTGCGGCGTGCAGCGGGGGCTCGGGGTGAGCTGTGGTGGCGGTGGCACTTCTGCGCCCGCCAGGGCCGAGGGGCCTCCCGGGCTGGTGCTGAGGGCACCTTCCGCAGGAACTTCTTTTCTACATACTTGTCCTTGATCCAGGCCTCCTTGTCCTGCCTGGACCGGGGTGCACATGAGGCCGCACTCATGCGTGGGGGCTCCTTTGGCCCTGTCTCGACTGCCCCCCCACCTCACCTGGAGCTGCTGGCTGTGGGCTTCCTGCTGCCCTGCCCCTCGCACTGAGCCTCATAGATCTGGTTCACAGTGCTGTTTCCAAGCTCACACATCAGCTAGCAGGAGA